ACTTTGGAAAAAAATATGACCAGCTATAGATTTCTTCAAGGAAAAATATTCCCAGAAATAGATTTTTGAAGAAAAACATTACCAGCAATAAAAATTTTGTTGGCATTAAATAACCCATTGAGGTGTTGATAAGAAAGGCGCCAGACTTGACTTAAAACCAAAAATAATATTATGTTAAATTATAAAAATATTACCAGCAATAAAAATATTGTCGTCATTAAATAACCCATTGAGATGGTGATATGTCGTATAACATAACAAACCAAACCAAACCAAACTATCTTCTAACAGAGGAATATGGATAATTAAACTTCATTTAAAATCTATAATATCTGTTATCCCGATCGATTGGCGCGTAGAGGTCAAATTCTATCCAAGACAGTTGCATTCGCTTTCGTATCAGTAACATTGAAAAGCTATAAATCCATTTATTCTCATCCCACGAGTCAGATAGTTATGTGCCATGTGTGATACACACGTAGACGACCATGTATCTTTCGATACATAACTGACGAGGTGGTATTAACACCTCCCCCCACACACACTTGGACGAGATGTGACACATGGTCTTTTTTTAGTTGGGGACCCGAGCGCGTACGCCCGGGATAAGGACAAAAATTGCCCCCAGTCCCCGCAACCGTCGGTTGCGCTCGCCTCGGTGTGAACATCCATCCTTCCCAGTGGGGGGGGGAGGGTTTTCCCCCAGGGCTGGGCACCTCTCAGTATAATTTTCTCAGTTGCCCCTCTGTACTTTTACAGTGAAGCCCCTGAGTGCACTCTGCCCAAAGACAGAGACGCATCTGAGAAATGATAAGCCTGGATTAGAAACTCCTCCAAGGAGGAATTTTTATGCTGACTGACGAGGCAGATTTTTTCTCGCAGTAAGCTGCCATTTCTTTCTGCAGTAGACCTGTTGCCATCCAAGGTTATAGAACCCGGTCTGTCCTGCTATTTACCCATAGCTGGAGAGAGAAGAAGAGGATTAATACCTTTCCCAAAGGTTTTAGCACGTAAGTAAATGTAATGGATTCGATTAGAATTCGCACACCGACCCCTTAATCCGAGCAGCTATCCATTCAGTTATGTGCCATACGTGATACACGCTAAGATGATCATGTATTTTTCGATACATGACTGACGAGGCAGATCTTTTCCCCCAATAGGTTGCCATTTCTTCGGCAGACCAGTTAACACCCAAGACTATAGAACCCGGTCTGTCCTGCAATTTACCCAGAGAGGGGGGGATAAAAATAAGATTCATACCTGTCCCAAGAGTATTAGCACGTAAGTGAATATAATGGATTCGACTGGAATTCAAACTCGGCTCTCCGATTCCTCAACCCGAGCCGCTATCCATTACTACATCGTGAGGTGTTAATAGCACGGTAGATTAGCCTCTCTAGCTTTGCTTGGCAACCAATCTAAGAGAAAGAAAACTCTGAATTCCAAACTGGTTGGTGGTGGGTCTAAGAACTCTAGCCTGTACAAATTATTTGCTATGGTAATCATAGCAGTGGTGAGGTTGGGATTCAGCACTCCGCAGGGGAGTCTACAGAGGTAACAACAGCAATATAGTAATTGTCATCAGAACTGTTACAGAATCAATAATAATAATAATAATAATAATAATAATTATTATTATTATTAATGTACTTGTGCCGTTTAAAATGGTGGCTTATTTTTATTGCCACAATTATGTTGTTGATAATTGGCTTCAGCGAACAAAAGATTATTTACTCTATGAAAAGTTTTGTCCATTTCTCATGGCACCAGTATTCTTATTTCTCTTTCCGTTGCGTTGCTCTTCTGCTTCTTGTCGAAGAAGTTCTTCAATTCGCATTCCAATATTTTCTCTTCTTGTGTTAGATTCTTCCTCTGTTTTATTTTGAACCCTTTCATCTACACGTTCTCTCATGGCAGCTTTTCTTGCATTAGCTTCTTCTTCTTTCCTTTTACCTTCTTTGTGGTGCTCTTTCTCTATCGCAGATCTGCTCTCCTCCTATTGCCCTCTTCTTCTGTCACATTAGTTCGCCTCTGAGCTTCACGTCTCCTGGTTTATGGTCATTGCTTCACGGTGTTCCTGCGATGCCTGTGAATATCTTTGCCTGTCGGCCACTCGCCGTGCCTGTATCTGATCCTGAGATTGGCGTAAACACTGACTTCGTTTACGCTCTCATTCGGATCTCCTTTCTTCGAGGGAATTTTTCATTTTATGATCTTCACTGGACAATCATTGTTGTAGAGTAGTTTCACAGTGGAGGCTTGTATTTCACTAAGTCGGTCCTAAAAAGGTTCGACGTACAAAACACTAGGAACTTGTTATAATAGTTAAGGACGCAGCAATCTAGTTGTGGTGGTTGATACTTTAATGTCCGACATCGACTGACTCACCAACTCACTGAGCTACTTCGCGACTGCTACTACTACTACTTATTATATGTGAGAGAGTCTATTAACAATAGAATAGGTATGTTCCAGTATAACAATCATACAGCACATCGAACGACAAAGGATCAGGTGGTTTCGACATCTCACTTGTATTCCTATCAACCAACCAGCCCTACGAACATACACCCTCAGGTACTCTGGCGGGAGAGCGAGAGGCATACCAAGAAGACGTAGGAGCGACTCAGTGGCAGATACTCCCAGAGCCCACGAGATATCTTTCCTCCGGGCCACTCGCCTAGTTGCTGAAAAATGACTGTGACTACCCGCGACGCCTAACAGCATAAGCGGAAGGAAAAACCAACTAAACTAAACACTGGATAAAATTTTCTTAAATGCACAATCTAATGTAAAATAGGGTATTATTTAAATTTAATTCTACATATATATAGCAGATTTGTGTTGAATTTTGGATATCAATGCAAAACTAAAATATATTGAAATAATATAATAATAACTTTTAATTTCACCTACAATATTAATATTAAATTTATCTCTTAATAGTTATTCAATTATATTTTTAGAAGGTAAAAGTGTGTTGTATATAGGATACCCTAATTCACATATTCAGATAAAATATAGGGCAACAGATTAATTTTCTGAAGTACCGTGGATAAAAAGTATAGTGATGTATTTGCTTAAAAGCAATTGTTACTTGTTAATAAATGCAATGGTATCTATGATTCATTGATTATTATATTATATATGATATTATAAATTATTATATATGATTCATTGATTATTATATAAACCGTATTCTGCTCAATATCTTTTCATATTAAAAATTTTATGTGTAATATAAAAGTGAAATAAAAAAAAAAATCTTTCAGAAAAAAAGATTAGCAACAGAACGACCAGAATGCCGACGACAAAGTCTATTTCAAGACCAAGTTGAAGCAAGATGATTGCTTAATAAACAAAGGTATCTGAGTGCCTCACATGAAAGGCATGAACAAATAAGACTGCATTTTAAGAAATGTAGGCATAAAGGAACTGATTAATTAAACGGTTCCTTTTGCTCGAGTAATTATTTTGCCAAAAAACAGATAAATATTTTATTTGTATGGATTATTAAAATGACTAAGGGACGTAATCACTAATAAATTTACTAACATTACCTCCTTCCCACTACAGATGGGGCAGGAAATATATAAAGAAATACATATTGATAATTATTATATGGTTTGATTATTATTTAATGAAGTGGGTGTGCCGGCAAAATGAAAACACTGATTCAAGAAAATTTCATTTTATTCAACTTTTGACTTCATCAGTTTCTCCCGGATAGCCCCGGTCCGAACGTGGACCTTGCATTCTCTGTCTGCGATGTGTCAGAGACTGCTCCAATCATCTCTGTAGCGGCTGTTTACATATGCATTTGTCCAACATACTCGTTCCCATGCTTGCAACACCGGTTGCAGGTGTGTGGTCACGTACATCTTCTGTATTCAGTGACCGAAAATGATCTTACGTTTACACGCTAATGCACTCGGCTTCTTTAATAGTTTGGTGTGAATTACATGTAATGTCTATTCCGACATCATGCGCTAATCATTATAAGAAAAAGAGGAAATGTTGGCAAAGAAACAAAAGAGAAAATATCTAATGAAGAAAAACACCGTGATATATTTGTTTAAAAGCAATTGTTTTTTGTAAATAAATGGAATAGTATCTATGGTTCATTGATTACTCCTGGTATTAGAAGAAGAAGAAGAAGAAGAAGTATAAGAAGAAAAAAAACAAGAAGAAATACAAGGAAAAAAAACAAATCTAAATAAAGATGAGAAAATAAAGAAAATAATAATAATAATAATAATAATAATAATAATAATAATAAGAAGAAGAAGAAGAAGAAGAAGAAGAAGAAGAAATACAAGGAGGATGGGAAAGCTAAAGAAAGATGAGAGAATAATAATAATAATAATAATAATAATAAGAAGAAGAAGAAGAAGAAGAAGAAGAAGAAGAAGAAGAAGAAATACAGGGAGGATAAGGAAGCTAAAAAAGGTGACAGAGTAAGAATAATAAGAAGATGAAGAAGACGATGATAAAGAAGTAGAATAATAAGAAGAAGAATGAACGAATGAATGAATGAATGAATAGATAGATGGATGGATGAAGCTGAAAAACAGAAGGCAAGAAAAGAAAAAAAGAGAAGAGAAGGATTAGAAGAAAATGGCGAAGAAGCAACGAGAAGAAAATTGTGAGAATAGAGGAAGATACAGTAAAAGCTGAAGAAAAAGAATATAAAGAAAATGCAATAAATCAAAAGAAGAAAAAGAAAAAAGAAAACGGAAAAGATGAAGAAAGAAAATGAAACGAATAATAATGAGGAGGAGAAACAATTGCTCGAAATGAAATGGCGAAGACAGATAATCTTTTCAGGAAATTCTTAAACTGACAGAACAAAGAAGGAAGTGAGAGGGGTATGGCGCGCAATTCAGTGAAACAGACGGTAATTTGGGGCATTGATTTATGGGAGGGGAGGAGACGATAAGACAGTTGATTGCAAAATTGTAGTTGGCAATGTGGGACGAAATGCCGTTTGAAATAAATTATTTTCGAGCAATGAAAGAGGAAGAAAGAAAAGTAGGAAGAAAAAGATAGACATCAAAGTGAATATTGGCACGGTGAAAAAGAAATAGATAAAGAAAGAAAGAAAGACGTACATTAAGAGGAAAAGAAAAACTAACATTAGAAGAGAGACAAATATTCATAGAAGAAAGAAAGATGAATATTAAAAAGAAAAAGAAAAAGAAAAGAAAAGAGAGAGAGAGAAAGAAAGAAAGAGAGAAATGAACACTAAAAGCAAAATAAAAAAATGAAGACGAAAATTGGGAAGAAAGAAAAAAATAAAGAAAAGAAAGACGTATATTGAGAATAACAGATAAATAAAGACGAACATTGGGAAGAAAGAAAAAAAGAAAGAAAAAAGGAAGAAGAAAAAGAAAGACGAATATTGACAATAATAGAAAAATAAAGAAGAACATTGAGAAAAAAGAAAGAAAGAAAAAAAGATGGAAAAGAAAGACGAATATTGAGAATAAAAGAAAAATAAATAAGACTGTAAAGAAAGAAAGAAAGAAAGACGAATACTGACTAAAAAAGAAAAATGAAGACGAATATTGAGGAACGGAGAATAAAGACGAATAATGTGAAGAAGAAAGAAAGGAAGGAAGGAAGGAAGGAAGGAAGGAAAATAAAGACGTATACTGAGAATAGAAGAAAAAAAGACGCACATTGTAAATAAATAAAGAAAGGAAGGAAGGAAGGAAGGAAGGAAGGAAGGAAGGAAGGAAGGAAAATAAAGAGGTATACTGAGAATAGAAGAAAAATAAAGACCCACATTGTAAAGAAAGAAAGAAAAAAAGAAAGAAAGAAAGAAAGAAAGAAAGAAAGACTATCAGGAGAGACATATTTCTCATGAGAATAATAAAAAAAACAGGATGTAAGCGGGAAGGATAAAATGTTTGATATAAAGAAAGCAAGCCAAAAAATTAAATAAATAAAATAAAAATCCAACACAGTTGCATTTGATATGAGCTAAAAAATGCATCAATTTTCAGTTGAGTGTTTGGCTGTTTACCAAGGCTTCAAATGCTCGCTCAATCATCTCTCTGAATATATATATATATATATATATATATATATATATATATATATATATATATATATATATATATATATAACGATGACGTTTCCCAGACTAAAAGTTTAACATCAACTGAAGGACAAATTATATTCTTCCGTTTAGCATTTACCATTAAATATTAGCAACAATGTCGTCTGTCTGTCTTAAAAGGTTGGTAACGATAGCTCGTGTTTCAATATATTTATGAAGCCGTTATTTCGTTTTTGTTTTTCTCACAACCGGATAAGACTTCGTTAGTAGTCTCCGAGTCATGTCTTAAATCATTTATTTTCTAAGTGACTGGTAGGCAAACAATCTACCTGGGTACTATTACAGATTTTACAAATGTATTATTGCGTGTTTCTGGCAGTGTTATCAATTTGGTCTACATTTGAAAGACAGGTGTTGCTCGGTTTCTGTTGATAAAAAAAAAAAACGCTAAGTCGAAAATAAAAGTCAGTATAGAATCAAAATTTATTACATTGGGATATTTCTACTGTAGCTCACCACCTGTACTGCATCCACAGCCTCAGTGGTGTGTCCTGAGCAAGACAGTTTTACGGAGCCCAAACCTCTTCAAGCTGGCTTTGCATGCAGATTTTACTCCTTCTAGACAGGTTGCCGCCCAAAGCTAGAAAACTCAGATGGTTTTATTGACTCGTAACGGGGTAGAGAAATAGGTTCATGCCTTCCGAAGGTATTTGTGTGAAAGCAACCGCTCCGGGCTCGGCTGGAATTTGAACACAGCAGACTCAATCCACTTTCCGTACAGACCCACATACCCCTAACTCAACCCACTAACGATATTCATCTATTCGCTCAAACGGAATAAAACTCGGTATCTATGCTGAAGACACAACTACTTACTCCTGTTTTAATAGTAAATTTGATCGTTTAATAAGGTCAAATTAGTAGCTGATCTCAAAAATAGCCTAAAATCTGTTGTTAATAGGGGCAAGGAATGGCTTGTTAATCTTAACGCCTCCAAAATGAAACTGCTTTAATTTAATAGTCCGAGATAACCTTTTTTACCCTCCATCAGCTCCTTTAGGTGTGCGACTCATTGCACCTTCTCGAACTAACGTTTTCTGCTGATATGAATGGAAAGATTACATTGAATCAATCGCAGCTAGGAAAGTTGGTTGAATGTGTCGGGCTAGACATATTTATAAGTCTACTATTCGTCCTTGCTTTGAACATCGCTGCCACATCTGTTCTAGTGTACCTGCAATATAGTTAGAGATTCTTGATAAAATCAAAAGCAAAATCCGCAATGTTATTGGTCCTGATCTGGCATCTCAGTCACTTTCCTACCGCCATAGCGTAACTTCCCTGTGCCTTTCTATAAATACTTTCTTGGTAATTGTTCTGATGAACCTTCCTCTCTGGTACCTAGACTTTATGAATTTAAGCGCAGTACTAGATTAGCGGCAAGGTCTTATCATTTTAAAGTTGAAATGGCTAGATGTAACCGCAAGTTCTATGCTGATAGTTCCTTCCAGTACATTTCTGTTGTGGGGATGAACACACCTCTCCAGAATATAACTTGGACTCGTTCAAATAGCATATATACTGTTATATACCTTACCTATGAATATTACTGGGTTTGTCTCAATCCTCATAAATACGTTGGACACTATTGTAATTGGAGGTAATATGCTGTCTAAGTAGCCCGCCACTAGCAGTGGTTTACCTACTTCACGCCGCTGGCGAGTATTGTATTTTGTTGATGTTATAAAGATTACCATTCCATTTCCAACCTCCGTTTTTGGTTATTCCTCATTCAGTAACCTTTTCTAGGTTACAACATATACTGACGCCCAGAATCGTCAGCAGAACTAGCCGGGAACGAGACTGATATCCTTACTATAGAATTCAATAAGACTGCGTCGACTCCAAGCGACATTATACTTCATGATTGTGTTATCTTCATTCAATGGAATGAAGACATAACAGTGACAACAGGAATTCAAATTCACATTAAAAAAAGAAAAAAAAACTTTTTCTTCCTAGTTAATCACTACTTATACGAACATAATACACTATGGAAGAATTGAAGATAATTATTCAGTAACAGCAAGAAATCCAGAAGACACTAAATGCAGCAGGAGCAGATTGAATATTGCGAACAGTTTAAGGCAATCCTGGAAAAGCAAGGAACAGGAAATGCGTCAATTTCATTTTCGCCGGGCTCAGTTGCTAACTTAATTAGTAAATTTAATTACGCCCCAGAAGAAAACATTACATTCCATTTTCAGAGAAGAATGTCAAAGATGGTCGGATTGAAAAAAAAGTACGTCTTCTGTTACGAAAATTGTGCCCCGTGAACATGAAAAATATCTAAATTTCATTATGCCGAATACTCTAGAAAAAGTATCATTTTAAAGAAACAGTGTTGATATTACCAAAATTTTTTGGTGAAAAGAATTGACTTTTTTTTTTATATATGTTGGCACTGCGTGAACCTTAACGAAGATGAAAATTTTGTCACCTATGCCGGTAAAGTCAACCGTGAGTGTGAGAACTTTAAAGTGGACGAACTATCCTAAAGCAGATTTAAATGTCTAATCTTCGTTAAAGCTCTAACATCGAGCAACAATGCAGAAATATGCTCTCGAATACTTACAAAACTTGACCAGACTTCAAAGTTAACGATACACTGTTACGGAAGAATGCCAGAAATTGTCAATTTAAGGAACGATATAGTGAAAATTTAACAAAATGAGACACCAGAAGTAGAATTAGTTCGAAAAAGATAGTAATATCAAAATCCGAAAAAAAAAATACTGGTAAACTTAACCCATGATATGGCTGTGTTTTGCTTCATTTCAGAAAGGACGTCCATTTGAAATTAGAAAATGTTTTAATTTTAGAAAAAATAAGTCACAGACGAAGCTACTGCAAGTCGAAAAGCAAAAAAAAAAAAAAAAAATACACAAATTTGCTGAAAGTAGTACTACCACCTAAAAACTGAAACGTTCAAATAATAGAAAATTCGCAAGAATAAAAATGAGTAAAGCTACGGTGAGATTTCAATTGGACATTGCTAGCGATATTACAATTATTGATGAACAAACTTTTAAACAGAATTAGCAAGCCTAAATTGGAAAAAACTGACAAAATTGCAAGAGGAATATCGGACAAGAAATTAATTTTTCTTGTGAAAATTACGTGTAACATCACTCTTACGGGTAAAAAAAAGTAGCAGATGTTTACATATTAAAAAATTCCATCTCGAATTTACTAGGTGTCGATTGGTTAGAATTATTAATTGTTCTTCATCATGTTCTCATATGCCACATTTTTGAGATTTCTATTTCCAGGTCCTTTATTTTGATAGCTTTTAAAAGATCTTCAAAGATACAGTGTAACCTGGAAGGACTTCAATATCAGTAAAGAGGCACTTTTTATCTTTGCAGTCTCTAATCACGATGTCTGGTGGGCGATATCATTGTTCTGTTTGTGCGTATTATGAAATCCCATAACAAATCTTACACGGTCCTCTACGACTCTTTGCTGTGTTGGAGTCTACTAACACCGAATTTGATAGTTTAGAAAATGCAACGTCAGTCGCCATCTTCTGTCTACTTGAACCCTGTTCAAATTTTGTTCTTTTCTCAATCTTCTCTATTCTCATTCTCGTTCACTTTCACTCTTTGTAATCCTCTGAACTGATGAAAAATAGTTTAGAGTGAAACTTCACTTTATGCTAGTTGAAGCAACCGGATATTATGTAAAGAGTTGAATCATAGTTGGTTATAATGGAAGAATAATGTTCGAATGACAATATAACGACACCTTAATGGTGATTGGGGGGCGACTAAGTGTCAATTCCGTCAGCATTAAGTTCCGTAGGAATACTGGATATCGACATATAATCCTGAAAAGTTGAAGAATTTCTGTGAAAACGCATTATTTGTAAATACCCTAATGGCGTCTACAAATAATATTCAATAATATTGTTCAAGACCCTGATTAACAGTAGACCGCTTCTTCTTCTTTTTCTTCTTTGTACCGTGTCTCTTCAAAACATGGGAAATCATGACTCTCCACAACTTCCTATACTGAGTAGCTCTTCTGCTATTGTTGTGTAGGAACCTACCACCTCTCTTGAAGATGAACTCGTCTACAAACAAGGACGTTAATGAGTGGCATGTAAAAAGACAGCGTCGGAGAAGTTCTGGGCTGAGTTAGTTATAGACTACTCAGGCGATATCTGTACCAACTTACCAACCGAATAAACCCCATTTTATTGTTACATGTTATTTGGCGTTTGTCTTTATTAACCCCGAATTAACATCATAACAACTATCATGTAAAGTGCTCGGTCGAACTGTATTCCTTGATTCCGGTCTGTTCGAACCTTAACGTCTAAGACCCGTCATGCCACACCCATCGTAGCAAATCACCCTCATTCCCTCCGTATACGCTTGGCGAGTTTCACACAAGCAGCTGCTTCCCGTGAACCGCTTCTCTATGGAGCCGACTCTCAAGATTATGTCCCCCTCCCCCCGATCACTACAATCTGGACCTGTTCGTCTAGGGTTAACCATTGTCTACCCCGCCTATCCGCATAAAATGTGCTTCTTACTCTGTAATCAGCTACCTTTTCACCATCCCTCCCTCACTTTGTCCTGTCAACCACCTGTTTTATTTCTCTTTTATTGTTCAAGAAGAATTTTTTTTTGTTATTTTTTTAGTTTCTCTTAGTTTACGTCGCGTATTGCGAAATCTCTGGGTAGCTTCCGAAAAGATTTTCAGGGAATTATCATCTTTACATTGTTT